AAGCAGAATTTTCTAGAACATACGAAAATAAAATCTATTAATATCGTATAAAATTGTCTCAATCTCTTTTCAGTCAGTATTTGAGGAATTTCGAGATATTTTTTGACCAAAAAATACGTGATTGACGAGGATTTTTCGACGTTTTTCACTGCGTGTGAAAGTCTTGCTTGGCTAATTTGTAAATTAAACATTGTTTTAACCTGGGATATATTGTAAATGATTACCTTAAATTTCCGATATTGCAAAATTATTATGATATATCAAATGGGTAGATTTAAACTAAACTTAGTTTGATTTGTCAAGAATAGTTCTGCAGAAATTTTTATAGCTTGTGGCGTCATTTTCGATAATCAGGAGTGAAAATCATGAATGTGTTTTTTCGATAATTCAAGTCGAAAAAAACATTTAACGTGGATATTTATTTACGGAAGAAACCCTACAAGTTCTTTTTGATGGTTGTTCTTGTCATAATTTTACGTTATAACCGCTCCACAAGACTTCCAAACTCATTGCCACAGTTATTCTCTTATAGAATATTTCTTTTCGAGGTCCTTTTTAAGTTCTTTTTACATACATGTTCGTTTGAAAAAAAATTTGCTTAGTCTGCAGTGGAGAATGACTCTCATGATTTAAAAAATTAGGGGCAAATGCCTTCAAATCAAAAGTAAGGGCTGATATCCCCAAATCAAAAGTAAGGGTTGTACTGAAATCATCAATAAATAGATATCTGAACGATCTCTCAATTAACAAATTAATTCGTTCGATTCCCGAATAAGGGCCGACACCCTCAAATCAAACAAGGGCAAATATTTTTTAATAATAAATCAAGGTAACTGCCCTCAAATTAATTAAGTGGAAAATTTCTTAACTCATCAGCATTCCCCTCACTCGTGCCCAGTGTTGGTCCTTCGATTTCCCCTCTGTAGGCCTGAATTTTTCCGGGTCGCTTGGTCCTTACGGCCTCCTTTGTTTGCTGTGAACATAAGAGCTGGCCTATCTCCTACACTCAGGGAAATGAGGGAGACTTTCTTCAAATAACGATGCTCTTTTTTGACCTTGTGTATGAAATCCAGACACGGTTTGAATTAATTATTTCGTGTATAATAATGCTTATAGTATAATATATGATAAGATGTATAATAAAATCTTCAATTAGTTACCATTAAATCTGTCTGCAAAATTCAGCCCATTGTTTAATTTTAAAAATTTATGAATGGTCCATAAGGTCGGACCTGTATTTTACGTCGGGCTTTATTACGGCTCAAAAATGTAAAGGATTAAGCCTGGAAATGTTATCCTTTGTTATGGTAATAGCCAGCATTTACTTAGGGATGAGGGAGTTAACCTGATTATATTATGACGGTTAACTCGATGATATTAGGAAGGTTAATTTGATTATATTGAGATTGTTAAGCTGATTTTATTGATAGGTTAAGCTGATAATATTATGAAGGTTATATTTTTTATATTAGGAAGGTTATGCTGATTATATCAGGAAGATTATGTTTATTATGTTAACAGGTTATTAGGAGGTTAATATTAGGAAGGTTAAGCTGATAATATTAGGATAGTTAATTTAATTATATTAGGAATGCTAGCCTGATTATTTTAGGAAGGTTAACCTGATTATGTTAAGAGGGCAAACGTGACAATATTTCAGTATTTTATGCATGTTCTGAACGGCAGGTGTGAAATGAAAAATATAATGATTTGCCAATGGAGAAATTGTCTGAACAACACTTACTCCTTTCAAACTTCAACATTACAACATTACCCATCTAATGGGTTCAACATTCCCAATTTTTTTGTGTTCATCTATCAACATCAATCCATTTGTGTTTTCAACAACAAACCCCTGGGTGCTGGCGAGTTCAAAATTCAATATCAACCCGTACGTGTGTTCAACATTCATCAGCCTCAACCTTTTTGTTGCACTACTAAATTAAAGAGCAAATTTTCTCTGAATAATAAATTTAATCTCAGATTTACTCGTAAATTTGCGAGCAATTATTGCCTGGAATTTACAAGTTACCGCCGCTTATATTCATGAATTTTATTGTTCTTTTATTCACAGTTTTGACGCGCATATTTTTGACTCATCTGGAGGATGAGTCATAAATGTCATCTGGAGCAAGCATGAATCACTCAAAATATTTAATATGTCATATTGTTTAAATAGGCACTTTCCTACTCATCGAGCGAGCAAAGACTGGACGTAGCACTGATACACCTGTTTGCCGAACCATGCTTGGTCAAGTTGACCAACACGAGGATGAAAAGGGCAGCAAAGTTTGGGCAAAGCCTCACTCATTTCTCTGAGTGTATAGGCCTAAGGAGCTTGTAGGCTTAGACAGAATTCCGTAGCGTCCAGAATGAAGAACTGCAAGCCAGGCGCGAGGCTGGTGGATGTGAGGCCTCGCATGTTGCACTCATAAAAATGTGGGACTTTGTCTAAATAGCGATGCTCTTTTTATCCCTGCGTGGGTCATCCTGACCCAGTTTGCTCCGTAATAGGTTGTATTAGGGGATATCATTCCATCATTGTGTTGAATATTTAAGGCTTGAGATGATAATTGAATGTTGCCGATGAAAAAAACATTGGATGATATATCGTCACCATTTGGACAATGTGAACCATTTAGTTTCCTGGATGATAAGAAGAAATATAAATATAATAATAACACGTTACTAGTTTGCCTTGAACACGTTACTAGTCTCCCTTGAACACGTTACTAGTCTCCCTTGAACACGTTACTATCAGATCTTACCATGTATCATAAACCATAATCTATTTTACCATATGGTCATATATACCATGTTTCATCCTATATCGTTCCACATATATCACATATCTTTCTATATATATCTTATATCGTATCCTGTCCCAACTGGTCCACACGCTGGACGGTTCAAATTATCCTTGACTCACTTTTTACCTCGCGTAATGAGTCAATCACCAAGCAATTCCGGGTCACTCAAATATTATTTTTTACTCATGATTATTCATCAAACTCACACGAATGATATGGTGATCACTGTCAGGCACAAACCCAAGCTTTGATGCTAGTTTAAAATTGTCTGATCGAATTTCAATGTGTCACTCGGAGAAATAAGCGAAACTTTGTCCAAATAATGATGCACTTTTTGTCATTGTGTGGGTCATTCTGACATAGTAGGGCTTGGAAAAATGGCGTATCTGTGCTGCGTCCGCTTTTTACTCGTGCAGTGCTTTAGAAAGTGGGTCAATATTTGGACCATACGACCCATTACATTTTCTGAATCTTTCGATTTGGGTATTTTTGAGTATTTAAATTCGAAAAAATGAAGATGTACAAAAAAAATTAAGCATTCAACAGCAGCAGGAATACGGCGCTTTTCTCCACATTCGGTTCACACTCAGAAAAATGAGCAAGACTTCGTCCAAATAGCAATGCACGTTTTTCTGGCCTGACAAAACGGCGTATCAGTACTTCGTGCAGCAAGCGTGTCAGTATTTGGACATTAGGAGCCATTAATTTCTTTCAGTTCTGGTATTGGCGGTCGCCGTTTGAGTGCTTAAAAATGCTCTTGAAATTCCCATTTAGAAGCTTGGGGGGAGGGGGGGCTGTCTCTTATACACATCTAGATGTGTATAAGAGACAGATATTAAGCAGAGTTCGAGGTCTCTAAATCTTTTTTAACTTATTTACAAAATTTGAACAGTAAATAAGCATTAACTGTAATGTTTTACCCATTATTATTTGTAATAATATACATACGGCATACATGTAATAATATACGGCATACATGTAATGCTCCATGTATGCCGACGACACAAAAGTTTATAATATAGTGAAGAATGCGTCAAATAAAGCGCAATTGCAAGATGATCTTGACAGCTTAGTTAACTGGGCTGATACGTGGCAGCTGCGGTTTAATGCTGACAAGTGTAAAGTACTTCACCTCGGGAAGAACAATGAACAGCAAGATTACNGTGCTGAACAGGTGAGGCTGTCTCTTATACACATCTAGATGTGTATAAGAGACAGGTGTACACGTCACGAGGTACGTTACGTACGTCACCAGGTACGTTACGTACGTCGCTAAGTACGTTACGTACGTCGCTAGGTACGTTACGTACGTCGCTAAGTACGTTACGTACGTCGCTAGGTACGTTAGGTACGTTACGCACGTCACTAGGTGCGTTACGTACGTCACTAGGTACGTTACGTACGTCATTAGGTACGTTACGTACGTCACTAGGTGCGTTACGTACGTCACTAGGAACATTACGTACGTCACTAGGTACGTTACGTACGTCACTAGGTACGTTACGTACGTCACGAGGTACGTTACGTACGTCACGAGGTACGTTACGTACGTCACTAGGTGCGTTAGGTACGTCACTAGGTACGTTACGTACGTCACTAGGTACATTACGTACGTCACTAGGTACGTTACGTACGTCATTAGGTACGTTACGTACGTCACTAGGTACGTTACGTACGTCACTAGGTACGTTGCATACGTCACGAGGTACGGTACGTACGTCGCTAGGTACGTTACGTACGTCACTAGGTAGGGTACGTACGTCACTAGGTACGTTACGTGCGTCGCTATTTATGTTACTTTATATCGTCCGTCTGACGTAGAAGTCCGTCGAAATATACTATAAAAATAATTTAACGTTAATAAATCTATAAACTATATTTTTTTTATATTTAGTCGTTAATTCATAATATATGATAAGGATTTTAATAATACATCAAATTTCTCTTCTTACAGTGCATCAGTAGAAACAATTAATTAATTCTAATTAATTGATTAATTAATTCTAATTAATTAAATAACTAATTCTAATTAATATTTTTATTAAATGTTAAAAGGTAATAAATTAAACAAAGAATCAAATTTTTCAAAGTAACAATTTATATAAATATGTAATGAAAATAACAGATGCATACATATATGATAATGTGATAAATTACAGAATAACAATCATTATTATTAAATAATTTTAGAAGAGTTATCCTCGTCGTGCAGGGTATCGCTGGGCGGGAGATTCCAGGAGCTGAATATCCAACAGGGTCTGTTGCTGGGCGGTCTGGGCGACTACAACAAACTCTTCCTGGGTCTGCTAGACCCCTACAGAGGCTGTCTTCAGCAGGTCTGTTGGTCTGTATATGTTGCTGTGCTGCTGGTCTATATGTTGCTGGGCTGCTGGTCTACATGGAAAACGGTTTAAATCTTGAAACACGGTATTTTTAATGAATATACGTTCATTCTATTAGAATCTGTGAAACATTATTCGTATTATGTTGTTTTAATTTTGAGTACACATGCTGAGTTTTTCAAATAGCGCATATTTTTATCTGTAATTGGTGCTGAACATTAATAAAAAATGTGAAGAAAAATGCCCCAGGTTCCGCGGCCTGTATTTAAGTAGCGGCCTAAATACACGTACCGGCGGATTTCTAATATTTATTAAGTGGGTTCAGCTTTGAAAATTTACCAGTGATTTACCGACGGAGTTATTCACTTTTTATATATTTATTACAATGATTTATGTATGTTATAATAATTATTATCTTATATAATTGTTCTCATAAATACGACCCAAGGTGTCGTACAATGGAGTGTCGGTGCTACAACGAGCGCGGGACCCCGCGTCTGGCAGCTCAGTGCACGCCGTGGAGTGGCGGTGTTCGGACGTGTTTGCTGCGACGCCCGACAGCGCCGTATCCTTCGTCGCCCCAAATTCCTTCGTCTCCTTCGTCAGGAACTTCCCAAGGAAGGGCGCCACCATCACCTTCCAAATGAAGACCCAAGGGCAGGACTGTGTGATTTTCTACGCCACAGGTCCACCTTCCAGGTAATTATTATGTTTTTAATAATTCTGTAGTTTTTTATTGTATTACTCTGCTAGCATTTTATGCATTTTTTATACCTACAGGAAATATTGAATACTATTACCATGGTTGCCTTTTCATTTACATATGTTGTGTTTATTATTCATATGTGAGATATAGATTGATATTATTAATAACTCATGTTAAAAATGACAATTATTTCGCATATATTATTCATTGCATATGACATATTCCTCATAGATTATATTTTATAATGATCGAGATCAATAAACGAAGATTTCAGAGATAATTAAATATTAGGAGTAAAATCCGAAGACTTCTTCATAATTATCACAGACATTTTAATCAAAAAATGTGTATGGCGTATATATACATTCTTTGAGCAGTAGTATCAATTCACAGGCTATAGATTATTATTATATGTGCGATGTATTTGTTAATTAAGTGCAGTATAATTTAATTATTTGTCTCAGCATTGCATAGAAATTATTAGCTTGATAATTTATGATTAAAGTTACGTAAATATGTGGTGCAGGCTGAATGCCTAGTCTTAATCTAGGCTGGAAGAATGGGAGGCTAAAATGGCAAAAAGGCGAGAAACAGAATAAGGAAAAATGGCCAAGAAGGCATAAACGGCAAATGGGCAAGAAAGGCCAAGAAGCAAAAATGGCAACAGATTAAAAAAATAGAAAAAGCAAAAATGGCCAAAATGCAGACATGATAAAAGAGCATAAAATGGCCATGAAGGCAAGAATTGACTATAGGGCAAAAATGGCTAATAATAGAAAAAGCCGAAATGGCAAAAAGCCACAAAAGCCAAAAATAGCCAAAATGGGCTTAATTCTTTGGCTTTTTCTTTGATAATAATAGTTACTGAGAAGAGTGTGATATCATGCTGAAGAAAGTGTAATGTCATGCTGTGGAAAGTGTGATGTCATGCTGAAGAAAGTGTGATGTCATGCTGTGGAAAGTGTGATGTCATGCTGAAGAAAGTGTGATGTCATGCTGAAGAAAGTGTAATGTCATGCTGTGGAAAGTGTGATGTCATGCTGAAGAAAGTGTGATGTCATGCTGAAGAAAGTGTAATGTCATGCTGTGGAAAGTGTGATGCCATGCTGTGGAAAGTGTAATACCATGCTGTGGAAAGTGTGATGTCATGCTGTGGAAAGTGTGATGTCATGCTGTGGAAAGTGTAATACCATGCTGTGGAAAGTGTAATACCATGCTGTGGAAAGTGTGATGTCATGCTGTGGAAAGTGTAATACCATGCTGTGGAAAGTGTAATATCATGCTGTGGAAAGTGTGATGTCATGCTGTGGAAAGTGTGATGCCATGCTGAAGAAAGTTTAATGTCATGCTGAAGAAAGTGTGATGTCATGCTGAAGAAAATGTGGTGCCATTGAAAAGAAAGTGTAGTGCCTTTCTAACGAAAGTGTGATGCCTTTCTAAGGAAAGTGTGGTGCCTTTCAAAAGAAAGTGTGATGCCTTTCAAAAGAAAGTGTGATGCCTTTCTAAAGAAAGTGTGATGCCTTTCAAAAGAAAGTGTGGTGCCTTTCTAAAGAAAGTGTGATGCCTTTCTAAAGAAAGTGTGATGACGAGCGAGCCAATCTCTAGAAAGGAAAATGCGTCGCGCAATCATGTCGCCTCGTCACGCGCAGACCATCGCAGGGACGACGGAAAATCCTGCGTCGTCCTGACGAGCGTCCCGCACGAACTTCTTAAATGTGATGAGAAAATAAACGGTGTTGACGCTTAATTATATTTGGGTTATTTCGAGTGAAATACGGTAATAATTTAATGACTAGATAGTGATAATTCACCCTCACTGATAACACAGATAATTTAATTACTAGAACTAGAATGACTAGACTGATCAGTTGTTCAACTCGGCAGTATAGTAATGACTAAATAATTTTAGATTATCATGGGGTGAAACTCGACACTGATGAATTATTATAAAAAATTAATTGCAATTTAAGGTTATTTTCTTTTCAAATAAATATTCTAAGAAGCTTCAGTCAACCTGTACTCTGAGTCACTCTTGATCCTTTGGATATCTTCATTTTAGTTGCATTTAGCATCTAACCGTGTAACTTCAACTCCTTAACTCAAAATAATTACAAAAGTGCTCAAATTTAAAAAAAATCAATTGCAAACGTTCTCAATCCCACTAATATGGTGAAATTTAGAGTAAAAAAAAGTTGGCATTTAAAATTCTAGGCATGTTGCGATTTTCGAACCCAAAGATGACCGCGTTTACATACTGCGTTGCAAGCTTACCTTAAAGCAACCAAAACACGCCTTTCAAATAATTTATTATTAATGTGCTCTTATTTCTAATTAATAAGGTGATCATCAGTTATGAGCTTGCATTGTAATGTCGCCATAACTCAATACTGAGAGCAATGATCGGTCGTCACCGTGTATATTTTCCACCCTCTTCTTATTTCTCCACTCGTTCTCCGTCCAGCAAGACTGCACGTTTTATTCTAATTTTTTATTATTAAATCTGCGATTGAACTAGGTAAATGAAGGCAAGAATGATCAAAATGGCTTAGGGCCAAAATGGCAGACCCAACTGCAAATGCCATACAATGGTATGCCATTGTGGCATAATAATTCAAGATATCGTACATAAATATGTTTCATAAATAGAATAATATATGGAATATAAAATACAACAGATATAATGTTGCCTCGCATCTAACGTGATTAAAAGCTCTAAATTTGTGAAAACAATTTACAACAATGTTATACATAGCATTAGATATGCACTTATAAAACATTTTATATGTATATCATGCCTAATATTTATTTATTGCATTTATTATACATTATAATTGTTAGAGATGACATTATATACATGTAAGTTACGCATTAAATGTTACAATGTATAGTATTCTATATGTAATTTAATATACAACAAATACAATGTATAACCATCCCCCATATGAGCAGTTCAGATGTTATGGATGTATTATATATTATGTTTGTTAAATATAATAAGAAATAAGTTACACATTATATATGTAACATACAATAAGTAATATTGTATACAAGAATACAATATATATAACAAACCCCCCCCCCCCCAGGTCAGACCTTGTAGCCCTGGAGCTCAGCAGCGGCTGCCTCCGCCTCACCCTGGACCTTGGAGACGGCGCCGTGGTGCTGAACAGGTGAGGCGTGGGGGGGGGACGGCGCCATGGTGCTGAACAGGTGAGGCGTGTGTGTGGGGGACGGCGCCATGGTGCTCACTCTTCGTCTGACCCACTCATCGTCTGACCCACTCTTTGCCTGACCCACTATTCACCTGACCCACTCTTCGCCTGACCCACTCATCGTCCCACCCACTATTCGCCTGACCCACTCTTCGTCTGACCCACTCTTCGTCTGACCCACTCTTCGTCTGACCCACTATTCACCTGACCCACTCTTCGCCTGACCCACTCATCGTCTGACCCACTATTCGCCTGACCCACTCTTCGTCTGACCCACTCTTCGTCTGACCCACTATTCGCCTGACCCACTCTCCGCCTGACCCACTCTTCGCCTGACCCACTATTCGCCTGACCCACTCTTCGTCTGAGCCACTCTTCGTCTGATCCATTTTTATTCTGACCCATTTTTAGTGACCCAGTTTTTTCTGACCCGCTATTTTCTGACCCACTCTTTTCTGACCCATTTTTTCTGACCCACTTTTTTCTCACCCACTTTTTTCTGACCCATTTTTTTCTGACTCACTTTTTTCTGACCTACTTTTATTCTGACCTTCTTTAATCCTGACCCACTTTTATCATGACCCACTTTTATCATGACCCACTTTTATTCTGACCCACTTTTATTCTGACCCACTTTTATTTTGGCCCACTTTTAGTCTGACCAATTTTATTCTGACCCACTTTTATCATGACCCACTTTTATTCTGACCCACTTTTATCATGACCCACTTTTATCATGACCCACTTTTATCATGACCCACTTTTATTCTCACCCACTTTTATTCTCACCCACTTTTATTCTCACCCACTTTTATTTGACCCACTTTTATTCTGACCCACTTTTCTTCTGACCCTCTTTTAACCTGACCCACTTTTAATCTGACCCACTTTTATTCTGACCCACTTTTATTCTGACCCACTTTCATTCTGACCCACTTTTATTCTGACTCACTTTTATCCTGACCCACTTTTATCATGACCCACTTTTATCATGACCCATTTATATTCTGACCCACATTTTATTCTGACCCCTTTTTATCATGACCCACTTTTATTCTGACCCACTTCTCGGCCACAGCTCGCTGCGGGTCTCGCCAGGCTCGTGGCACGCCGTCTCGGCCCTCGTCTCGCCCTCGTCTCTCGCCCTCGTGCTGGACGAGCAGCGCGAGACTCGCCCGTCGCCCACGGGCGCCAACAAGTACGTGGACGTGACGGGCGACCTGCACGTGGGCGGTGTCGCCCCTGGGCGACGGGCGAGGGCGACACGCCAGGGAATCAGCGTTAACAGGTGACATGAATTTAAATTATTTATTAATTAGGCTTTAATTGAATGGCAGACGGGAACATGTAAATTTGGTTAAAAATAAATACCTATACCTTTAATTTAATATTAAAAGCAAATGATTATCATCAAACTTAATTAACGAATTTAAATAATCAATTGTTCCAGTTTCAATAAAATAATGGAAGAAAGAGAGAATGCATTTAATAAATAAAGTTTTAAACTAAATTTTTAGGATTTTCTATATTTTTCCCTTATATCCTGACATATTATTATATAATATTATATAAATATACAATATAATAATATAAATTGATATATATTGCATATCGATACATAATATATAGAATAATATTATATCAATATCATGACATGTTGTTAGTATTGGCGCAAAAAAATTATTACTTAATTCACACAATATCGAGTTATTATATAAATAACATTGTAAAATGGCCATGCAGACGATGATACTGCAATGATTTATTACCCTACTGAAAATATTGAAGGTCATAGCGGTCAATGTGATAATGATAACATAAAAAATTGAATGCGAAATGATCAATTTCACAATGCGATGGCGGCGATCACGCACTCCTGACAATGTATGTAGCCGCCATTTTCCATTTCTCTGGAATTTGCAGATGTAGAATTAGTCTACTATGTAGACGTAGTTCATTTCTGATGCGCCAGAGCATTCAGTGTTAGACGCTAGATGCCTGTATAGTACCCGAGCAACCAAGCTATTCGGTCAGTTAAATTTGTTGCTTATTTGAATTATTTATGATACCGTTTCATGTATATTGATTTGTCTTGGTTCATACATTGTCATTTATTGTACATATCATGAATCATTCTTTGTATATTTGTCTTATGTATTTTCTTGTAATTTTCTTTCTAGAAACCGAACTTCATGGAATACTCGTTTTTTACCCTGCCATGATGGCGCGTCTTATAATAGTTCAGCAAACGTTCCCAAAGGGCTAGCCAACAAGAAAGTTATTTACAAAATAATACCGTAGAAATAACCAGAATTTATATACATAGTAGAAAGGCACATAACGTATCATGAATAACATATCATTTTCATGTTTTTAATTCATAATAATAATACTGATAAAAATAGTAATAATAGAAGGCAAAAATACTAATAATGCTTCAATAATATCAATGACAATATAACAACAATATAATATTAACATATTATTATAGCTATGAATCCGTTTGGGTGTTGCCAGCCTGGTGGGGTGCGTGCGGGGGGTGCAGCTGGAGGGGGTGACGCTGGGGCTGCACAACGCTGCCGTGTCAGCGAGCGTGGCCGTGGGCTGCTCCATGTCCGCCCCCTGCACCGCCCACCCCTGCATCCCTGGGGCAGCCTGTCTACAGACCGGCCTGCATTCATACAAGTGTGTATATCTGTGGGAAAATGATGCCGATACAACGTTTATCACGCGCTGAATTTGTTAAGGCAACGTTTGATCCACGAAAATTACGTCGAAACAACGATTGAACCAGGAAAATGACGTCGAAACAACGTTTGAACTAGGAAAATGACGTCGAAACAACGTTTATCACGCGTTGAATTTGTTAATACAATGTTTGATCCAGGAAAATTTCATCGAAACAACGTTTATCACGCCCTGTATTTGTTAAGATAACGCTTAATTCAGGCTAATGACGTCAAAGCATCGCTGATCGCGAGTTGAGTTTGTTGGAAAATGGTGCGATTAACTCCGCTTATAATATTTAAATTATAACATTCACTCCGCTTATAATATTTAAATTATAACATTCACTCCGCTTATAATACACCGCTTGTAAGGCACACAACATAGCACGGTTAACTTCGCCTATAGGGCACATAACATAGCACGGTTATGCGACTTCTTGATAAGTGTTAAGCAAAGTTAAACTGTGATTGTTTAGCTACCTATACAAATGATATGCACTAATATTTTCTCATTGCTAAGCTCAACGAATGATGTGCACTAAAAGTATTCACGAATGATATGCGCTATGCGCTACTGATATGTACGAATGATGTGCACTAAAAGTATTCACACTGTGTCGTGGTCTGCGTCGTGGTCTGCGTCGTGGTCTGCGTCGTGGTCTGTGTCGTGGTCTGCGTCGTGGTCTGCGTCGTGGTCTGCGTCGTGGTCTGCGTCGTGGTCTGTGTCATAGTCTACGTTTTTGTCTATGTCGTGGTCTGTGGCTCTGTCTGCTGCTCGGCGCTGTCTTCGTTGTGGTCTGCGGCAGGAGTAGACCATTAAACTAAAAAAAACGAATGAATCTTGGCTGTATTCGTAAAAAATCTTTGTTTTTCCTACTTAGAATTTTATACTTTGGAAAATAAATTCGTGATATTGTCCAAATAGTGACACACTTTCTATATGTGTTACTTATGCTCCCTTTTGTCGGACAAAACTGGGCCAATAATATCCTCACAAGAGCAATAAGTGTAACGCTATCTGGACGAAGTCACTTATTTCTCTGCGTGTATAAAAGATTCAACATTTCATCAACAGCTATTGCAGCTATTTGTTTTTTTTTTCTCACTCGGAAAAATTGCAAAATTTTGTCCAAATAACGATGCACTTCTTACCCTTTATGGGTCATATTGACCCAGCTTTGCCCGGCAAAAGGACGTATCGTATAACACATGCAGAATTTTTGTCAATATTTGGACAATATTACTCAATTATTTGTCTCGTATGGCAGGTAATGAAGCTGAACCCGGTGATGGTGGACGAGGGTAAGGAGGTCATCATTTCGCTGCACCATCTCATGATCACCTTGGATTACTCGAAGGTAATATCTAATTGATAATATTCAATGAAATATTTATTATGTTCATTGTAGTTCTTGTCAACTTGTATCACTTCCGCCTAAGTCTTGCAGGGCATATTCACTCAGAGAAATTAGTGTTTTTATACAGACTGCTATATTCAGTGACAAAATATGTTTCAGATATAAAATATGTAATATCATCTATAATATATCATGCAGTTATGTTATCATACCGTGATTTGCAATTTTATTCAAGACGCACAATAATTGTGACTTTCCATTTTTTCTTACTGAATTTTTTTCCATTTTCTTAGCATCCTGATTTTTATTTCCAGTTCGGCATCCGGAAGAGCGGAATCATTTTTCACGTGACCCGTCAGCCTCCGCACGGCACGATCCTCCTCAGACCGTCCGACCGCAATGACACGTCCCGGGACACTGACTATCCAAACCCGGCGCAGGCGAGCGCGCGCAGCAAGCGTGACGTCATCATGAACATTGATGACGTCATAGTGCCCCCTGATGACGTCATGCACCATTACGATGTGATGATGCCTTCTATTGACGTTATGGAGCTTTTTGATGACGTCATGCGCCATGATGACGTTGCGATGGCTCTCAATGACGTCAGAAGGTCCCTTGTTGACCGACCTTTTCATGACGCCATGGGACCTTTTGATGACGTCATGGGACCGGTTGATGACGTCATGGAGCCCCTTGATGACATCATGATGCCCGTTAATGACGTCATGATGACCTTTGATGACGTAAACATGTCCTCCCATGACGCGGCCGTTGCTTCACGTGACATTATGCATTCTTATGTATCTCCTATAACAAAAATCAACTACGTACCGAACCATGAAATATTTCACGAATCTTTGCCTCACGACGTCGTGCAAAACACGCACAAAAACCCACGCACGCGCGATAATTTCGTACGCCACGACCGCGTCACGCGTTCACGGAGGAAGGCGCCGGGCGTTCACGACACGCTCGTATCGTTCACGCTGCACGACGTAGAGCGTTCTAGCGTGCGTTACCAGCATGACGGTACGGAGACGCAGCGTGACTCGGCACTTCTGCAGCTGCAGCTCATCACGCAGCCTGGATACTTGCTGCCGGCCTATCTGCAGGTCAGCTGCAGGATTAGCATGAGTACACACTTATTTTTATGAGTGACTTGTGATAATTACCAATGATACGTGATAATAGCCTGTGTTCACATGGAGAGAAATTATGGCATACTTTGTCCAAACAACGTAGCACTTTTTTCCTTGTGTGGGTCATCCTAACCCAGTTTGCCCCAGCCATAGAGCATATGAGTGCCACGAGCGATGTAAGAAGTGTCACTATTTGGACAACATGACCCACTTATTTTCCTGAGTGCAGCTGCGCCACGAACTCGTGTTGCCGGTTGCCATCTCGCCCGTCAACGACGCCCCGTCACTGGAGTTGCCAGAGGGGCCGACAGTGAGGGGCGTGAGGGGTGCCACTCTGCCCCTCACCACGGCACTCATCACAGCCCGCGACCCCGACACTCCTGACTCACATTTGATGTGAGTTACTCACTCATCATACGGAATTGTGGGTCAAAAACTCATCATGCTCACTAGTGGGTCATGAACTCACTCATCATACTCACTAGTGGGTCATGAACTCACTCATCATACTCACTAGTGGGTCATGAACTCACTCATCATACTCACTAGTGGGTCATGAAGACACTCATCATACTCACTAGTGGGTCATGGAGACACTCATCATACTCACTAGTGGGTCATGAAGACACTCATCATACTCACTAGTGGGTCATAAACACACTCATGCTGACAAGTGGGTCACAAACTTATTTGCAGTCCCAATAATATATAAGTCACAATTAAGCTCATTCGTCAGACATACTCACCCGTGAGTTAAGAACTCACGCGTCTGATATACGTACTTACTTGCTTGTGGGGCACAAATTTATTTTTTATTCATAATACTCTGAAAATCTTGGACATAGTCTGATATATATTCATTCCGGAGTCATGCCTATACTTACCAATAAAATTCGTTTAGTAAATTCAAGCCCAATTTTCTTCCCGAGTGCTTGTGATGGGCTGATACCGAAAATTTGCCTCGCCATTATTATTATTTTTTTAATTTCTACATTATCCTCATGAACATCCTCAGCCTTGGACACTTAATTAAACTCATAAATCACTTTCCAATTTCTACATTAAAATGTTCCCACCCACTTAGTCATTCCGCCAAACACCATTTTTTTAATTTTGTCCAGGAATGTCATAAATGAACACCGGATTTTTAGATTATTATCATAGAATTTAGACAATTTAGGATATTAAAAAAATCTTTTCGAATTAAAGCAATGATTTTTTTTTTGATCACAGGATAACAGTTCTCGGCCACAAAGGAGGGTACATATCAAGCAAAAACGTACCTGCAGGCCAGCAAGTAACGTCCTTCACTCAAGAGGATCTCGTCGATGGCAAAATATTTTACGTCAGTACTACGTCTGAAGACTCAAGACTTCTGTTCAAGGCCAGTGACGGTGAAAGTTCCAGTGTCCCTGTGGTCTTACGAATATCGACTTACGAACTGCAAGTGTACCTAGTGAACAATACGGGCATCAAGATCGTACATGGTTCTTCGACGGTTATAATGCCTACGAATTTGTCGTGTTCATCGAACAGCGAAGGCCAGAATATTTCTTTGCTATACCTAATCACGAGGAAACCGAAATTTGGAACTTTGCAGGTCCAAGACAGCGAAGGGAAATGGAATGACGTTTTGCAATTCAGTGAAGAAGAAATACTGGGTCACAAAGTCCGTTACACGCACCAGAAAGACAAACCGAAGCTTGACGGGTTTCATTTCAAAATTTCAGCTGTCGGAAAATCTTTTCCCGAAGAGTACCTCTTCGCCATTTCCTTTATCAGCGTCAGCGTTGAGGTGGTCAGGAATGCAGAACTCGTCATGACGGCCATAATGGAAAGTTTTATTTCTGAAGGATATTTATACGCTGTTACTCACCCTAAACCTAGTCCCCGTTCAGAGATTGTTTATACAATTGTAACTCTACCAAAGTTTGGAGGCATTTATTTAAGCACGGGGGATCTCATATATCAAAGGAGGCTATCAACCAACACTAACTTCACCCAAGATGACGTAACCAAAGGACGTTTAAAGTACAAGCTGAATTACGTAACATATTCGGATTTCTATGATTCATTTCTTTTCAGAGTTGCGAGCAATCTGCATGAAAGTAGGGAAGAGGTCTTCAAAATCTCGTACAAAGCGCCCCCTTTTGATGGCGTGGTGACTCAGCAGTCTCTGGTATTGAGGGAGGGCTCTTACAAAGCAATTAATGGTAGCAATATCCGCGTTACTGGTCCTAGCTTCAAACGGGTAATATATAGCGTTATTAAATCTCCAGAACACGGCCTTCTTTATGTTGCTGAACGCAACACCCGGAGTATTGTACGTCATAATGCAACGTTTTTCTCTGGTGAGGAAATAGACTCGAACGCCCTTTTCTACCAGCACGACGACTCGGAGAACTTCCGCGATAACCTACAATTCATCGCCATATCGGAAGACGCTAGGCCAAACTTCCAGATTGTAGGCTCTTTGAAAATTGAAGTTATTCCTCAAAACGATAATGCACCAGTCAGCTTAGTAAAAAAAGTCCTGAACGTGGTCGAGGAGAATTCCAGAACTATTACGCCGGACGATGTTCAGTACTTTGATCTTGACCTGGCGACTTCCCCCATGCAAATCCAGTTCACGAACATTAATGTAGATAGCGGTTACTTCTTCAACATCAACGCTGCATCGACGCCCATAGAACGGTTTAGTCAACAAGATATCAACGATCATGTAGTTAGGTTCCAGCACAAATCCAAACCGTACTCCAATGCCAGGTTCACCGTAACCGACGGACTGCTATCTTCAGACGACGAACTAGAAATCGTCGCGGCTGAACCATACCTTGAAATTGTTAACAATTCCGGCATCATCGTTGCCCGGGGTAGTCAAACGCTCATCACATCTTGGAACTTGAGCGCCATAACAAACTTGGACACTTGGTTACACAAACTTGTGTACACCGTGGTTGATGGACCTAAGTACGGCGTATTGAAACTACACACCAACGACCAAGTGCGGGCGGTTGACAGACATGGTGGTAGTTTGACGTTCACTGCAGACGATCTGAGGTTGGGACGTTTGTTCTACCGACACGATGGTTCTGCTCCGGAAAAAGATGCATTCAAGTTCACGGTGGAAGTTCTGCACATCAGCACGGGAGGAGTTTTGGATATCAACGTGAGTCCGAATTTGATTGGTAGCACATTTGTTTTGCTACTGCAAATATTGATGTTGTAAGTACTAGTTATTTGCCGTAGTAAAATCAAATTTATTTTCAAAATCGATAGTTTGTGTTTCTCAAGGGTACTTCAACTTTTCTATGCTCTGGATTTTTCATTTTAGACACGATGCAAGCAATAATTTCAACGAACATCTTTTAGAGTCATTAACAGTGCTGACAAAATAAAGTCAAAATTTGTTCTCCTAATAAGTGAAATTGCATAATTTTTTGTTTAGTGACTTTTGATGTCTATGTTATGTTCATTTAATGCTCCTTATCATCATTTTCATTCAAGATACCTACCACCAACTCAGCAGGGTGGAATTTGGTATAGGTAATAAGTGAACAGTTGAACAAATTACACTGCGCCATTGGTTCTCAAATTGGACAATTCACTCAGGAAAATGAATAAGTCATAATATCCAAATATTTACACACTTTCTGCACGAAGCACTTTATAATAAGCATTTCTACCGTGCCATACTGGGTCAGAATGTACAACAAAAGGGCAAAAATGCATCGCAACTCAGACAAAGTCTCGTTAATTTCCTTGAGTCATCTTTATAACTTGCATAATATTCTTAGATCCAGTAAGTAATTGAATATATAATGAACATATAATGAATATATAAACCAGAATTACCAGAATCCTCCATGCCAGCTGGATGTAACTCGCATCCATCTCTCATTTTGTCCAAGAAATTATTTTTATTACCTGGATACAAATATCAATAAGATTGCCGTTGCCCATACGTTGCATTCAAATCCATATAGATAATTTCCAATAAACCATAGCCATTTTATTAAATTGAGAATGGAAACGAATCAATAGTTATTATGTCATCGATAATTACTGTTATTGATAAAAAATGAAGGTACTATTAATAATCACTATTTTCAAGTTGGTCCGATTGTAATGTTATCAATAATGTTAAAAATTAGGGCAATAATAATAAGTAATCAGAATTTCATCCATTTCTTTTAAAGCTATAATTTTATTAAAACTGTTTATAATGAAAGTAATACCTATTAATAAACATAATTACTAGGTTATCTGATAACAACGTTATTAATGTTAATAATGAAGGTAATATTAATAATTACTTTTGTAAGGTTTATCTTAAGATTACATTGTTAATAATGTTAATTATAAGGAAGTATTACTAACAGGTCTTTAATTGGTACTGTGGACTGGTACTTGTGTTAATATCGTAGGTTATATTAATAATTGCTATATCCTATTTTTTATTATAATTATATTAATAATGTTATAAAAGAAGATATATAATATTAATAATCCAACTTATCAGGTATTTCCTACTTCGTACTGGGAACCATTCCATTACCACGCCTCTGTCAGCCTCTCTGTCGAGGAGCTGTCAAAAGCTACCCTGTCTCCCGTCCATCTGTCCCTCCATCACCCGTCTGTCCCTGCCCGTCACGTCCGTTATACCGTCACCCACCCACCCGTCAACGGGGTGCTTACCGTCACTCGTGCAGGAAAGATGAGCAAGGTGAGATCACTAACTAAATAACATTTAACATCTTAGAATAATTAAAACATTTATTGTTAATGCATTCAACATTAGTACATTTGATATTAATTCATTTGATATTAAATCATTCAACATTAATTCATTTAACATCATTACAGTCAACATTAATACATTTAATATTAGTGATTCAGCATGAATACATTCAACATTGATATATCTTCACTAAGAAATTTCGAGTACCACGTTTCCAGTTTACACTATAATTTATTTAATTTATAGTAACAGTGAGTACAATGTACTGAAGCAAAGTGAAAGTGAGGACAAATGTCCTGTAATTTTGAAGAAAATAAAGTACTTTATACGTTAAGCTGTTCTTACATCGTATGAAAATTGATCTATTAGAGATGCTACATTATTTTAAAATAAAAACATGAATTAATTGTGAACTTAATGAGACTCTTCGGTTAAAAGAGAAAAATTAGTTGGAATGGTACGCTGTTATTCCATGAGCTACAAAAAAGTCTTAGGATTACACTAATTACGAACGTTACTCAAAATGCTCTGCGATATAACACAAGTACTTGTTAATTACCGTAATAAACCGTATTCTTTACTATAATAAATATTTAAAATAGCACAACAACCGAATAAATTTGTTTTAACAAAACTTCTGTTGAAATCAAAAAGAGAAAAACACTTTTCATCTAATCAAACAGTTGGAGAACTGCAACAATGCTCCATTATATGCAGGATATTGTCTATGCTGTCGTGCACCCAGAGGAATTTGTCGCGTTGTTCAAATAACGATGCACAAATAGGCCTTGTATGGGGTCACCCTGACTCAGATTGGCCCGGTAAAAGGGCACTTTAGTGCCAAATTGGAAGGTAATTTTCAAAACAGGAATTTCAAAGTGGCATTTCCACTCTCTGCTCGTGCTGTGGATGAAAAAGTGTGATTTGGACAACATGTCCCATTAATTTTTCCCAAATACGGAAGATACATCAACCGTTGACGTAAAGAAGACGCTTATAAATTTGTCAATACAGCGACGTTTATCCCAACATCACACTAATTGTTCTGAGTGTGATCAGGCCATATGGTTCACGGCAGAGGAGGTGCGACGCGGCGTCGTTGAGTACAGCGCGACGCGCCGCAACGTAACACGTGACGTCATCAGTTACGTCGTCAGTAACGGCGTCACTGCGTCACCGCAACTCCACTGTAACATTCAGGTGCTGAGGCGTTATTAAGCTAATTTTTAATATTGTAAATATATATTATAGTATATTATATTATATGATATTATATTATATTATATTATATTATATTATATTATATTATATTATGTGTAATTGCAATAGTCTTGAGCTGCTTTTAATAATTTGTTCTTTGTTTACTAAAAGTATAAAAATTTTCTTCGCTGAAAAATGCAAACAAATTCAAAAGAATTTGATATAAATATGTGTTTAAATAAATAATCATCCTGCCTTTCATGATTATCTTAAATATGATCATAAAGCTTAAAGGGCTTAGGCCCCCTAGTCAAAAAGCCTTGCATCGTGCTCTTCATGAATCATGACTACGTATTATTCATCAACATTATGAATATTTCTAATAGCTGTACGTATTCATTTTATTTCTTGTTCTGACCAACACAGATCACTGAATGTATTGATTCAATTACTACTTTACTAAGTACTAATTTAATTACTAATTAGTTATTCTAATCCACACAGATCACCCGGCGCCGGCCGATGGTCGCAGGCGGGACCTTCAGCGTGCGGGAAGGCCACACGCGCCCTGTACCGCAGTCTGTCCTGCGAAAACTCACGAGTTTGCCCGTAGAGTTTTCTCAAGATAAAATCTCTTTCATAGAAAACCATCCAGCCTCGAAGTTTGATGGGAGACCGCAATATTCCTCTTCCAAAAATAATTCAATAGTCAACCCTGCCACACCGGATACTTCATTGGGAGTTAATACGTTGAATTCAACGCCAAGATTCGACGTTACAACGATTGATTCTACTTCCGGTTTTGACGTTCCAATAAACGAAGCAAAGTTTCACAGCCCAAATGTAGGAAAACTTCTGCCATTCTTCAGCGAAGAAGCACTGCATTATGAAGGAAATTCAATTCTTTTCAACCCGGACTTTGAACAGACTTCGCGGTACGACAGCGATTCAGTATTAGGTTTCAACGACAGAAACATTATGGCGAAAATTTCAGATAATCGAGCAATGCATATTGAAGATACTGACAACGACGTAAATAATCGGTATTACAGAAATTCCACTGAAATTCCGAGCGACAGCCTATGGACAAATATTCTTGTACGTAACGAGCCCAATGACCTGAACTCATCAAGTTTGCAAAAATGGAAATTCTTCGAGAAGTTTGAAGTGGTGAAACCCCCTAAAGAGGGAAAGTTGAAACTTGATTCTCGACCTCAACTTGCCGTTTCAACTCTAACTCGAGCTGAACTTGAACACGGGGAGCTTCTGGTAAGTAAGCAATATTTTAATAGCAATAATTAACTTATTAAAGCAATAGTAAATAAGCAAGCAATAGCAATATTTTAATTCACTATCATTGTTGATCATCATGGATCAATATTCATGACTCCCTTCTACGGTTCACTATCATCATTCCCGTTTCACGGGTAACTATCATTGTTCACTATAATGGTTCACTATCATGGTTCACTATCACGTTCCATAATCATTGTTCACTATCATGGTTCACAATAATGGTCCACGATCATAGTTCACTATCACGGTTCACTATGATGGTTCACAATAATGGTTCACCATCATGGTACTCTATCACGGTTCACTATCATGGTGCACTATCACGGTTCACTATCATGGTACACTATAACGGTTCACTATCACGGTTCACTCTCATGGTACACTATCACGGTTCACTATCACGGTACACTATCACGGTTCACTATCACGGTTCACTATCACGGTACACTATAACGGTTCACTATCACGGTTCACT